AAATAATACTTCTCTTCAAACTATTTTACAAATAATTATTCATAATAACAACTCTCAAAACTTAACAAATACTCTTTCTATATTAGATATAAATACCTGGGTTTGGTCTATTCCAAATGTTCCTCAAGCAAATTCTCCACCGCTACTCTCTAGACATTCAGCAGCATTATATAATAATTATATGATTGTCGCATTTGGTAATTATTTATCATTCATCTTAAATCTATTATAAAATATGATATTGAAAAATTCTTAATATACAATGTATTATATTTTTAGGTAATATTACAGCAACTAATACACGTAGTAATAATGTTTATATTTTTGATACAGAAAACTATATGTGGATTACCACGTATAAATTTAATTCTACAGATAAAACTACAAATAATTCTACAAATAATTCTACAACTAACACAGGAACTAAATCTAGCATTACTCCAGAGTCTTCATCTAATAATGGAATATTTATCGGAATTGGGATTGGTGCAAGTGCAATTGTATTGATTGGAATTTTGTCATTTATTGGAATTTTATTATATAAAAAACATAATAATCCATCATTTATTCCGACACCTGGCAGTTTAACTAATGAATATTAAAATTAAATATGAATATTAAAATTAAATATGAATATTAAAATTAAATAATGTTAATTAGATTAAAAATCTTAATCACTTGTTACTTTAATTAAAATAATCTTTATATATTCAAGCATTTTTTTGAGTAGATAAGATTTATATTTTTATAGAGAATTGTATGTAATAATAGGTATTGCGTATCTTTAAATTATAGTCTAATCTTAATTAGAACTAATTTTTTGTTGGTTTGAATTTATATGTCTACCTTATTATAAAAAGATTATTTAACAACATAATTGGCTCTATAGTCATGGTAGTGTATTCAAGCACTGCCATCATAAACTTATAGAGGATATAATTTTGGAAGCTCTTTTGATTTTTCTTAATTGGTGGGATGTTTAATGATAATACAAATAAAATTAGCTATTATTCATAAGTTTGCACATTTAATTATACGAATTCAAATGGATAAAATCAATTATAAGGAATTGATAATACTAGAAATGCTTTTTTTAAGAATATGAAAAACTTTGGATAAGCACATTGACTTGGTCAACTCTAATTGGGTCCCGATCCTCATCTTGCTTATATTGGTACATTAAACTTGATATATTCTACTACTAGGTATATGATGCCTATATGTATATGAAATTATCACCTGTAGTTTTCTCATTATTAAAGGTTCATTCAATGGTTACTTGTAACATAATGTGAAATCTTATGACAAGCAAATGAACGAAATTCTTTTCCAATATTTGACTTTCGAGAAAGATCTGTTATTTCTATGTGTTTTAACAAATAACGAATCTTTAATGCCAATAATTGCAGTAATGATATTACTTTCGCTTTTCCCTACAATTATTTTTATTATAGTCTAATAATATGGTCTTAGCTACCTGCGCATGTATATTGGCTACTCTTCCATTCGATTCTTAATATGTTCTAAAAGATTTATATAAGAAAAAAATAAAACATACCAAATATCCAATAACCAATTTTTTTTTATATAAAAAAAAAATATTTTTATTTTTTAACGTGAAAATTATTTACGAACATAACAGAAAAAAATACAAAGATTAATTTGTATTGTACAATAAAAATACAAATTGATTTGACAAAACAGGAAATTTTTGGATAAAGCAAGAAATTTGCTTTATTTAGAACGATTAAATGATCGTTCAGATCATAGAAAAATACTTTTTAATAAAAAGAGTAATATGGCTGCTTGCGAAGTATCTTCAGCCATTAAATTCTTATAAGGTTTAAAATTAATTAATTAACCAAATAAAGAATAATATTTATACAAATAAAAGAACAAATTAGATTATATGAAAAAAAAGATTTGAATAGCTATGATCATTAATATTGTGACGATGCTCGGGAGTCAGAGATGGTTCATTAATAATTTATAACCTAAACGCTTCATTTAGCACAATTGTTCAACAGTTCTTTTAAAAGGTTATTATCATCTTTTAAAGTAATTTAAGAATATGACGCGGATGTTTCTTGTTTAGCAGATTCATTGCAGATTCATTTCTATAAGTAGCAGATTCATTTCCATAGGTAGCAGGTTTGTTTTTGTAAGAACCATTGGAAGCACCAATAACATTAGCAATACCACCACTAACAGCACTTGCTAGAATTTATTTAAATAATTATTAGAATTATTTATGATTAGGAATATATTTTTAAATAATTTATTAAACACTATACCTGTAAAGTTTTTATTACGTTTATAATAAAAAATTGCAGCAATACATAACGGAATAAAAGCAAGACCAAGAAATCCAAGACTTATAGACGTGCCCACTACTATGTTATAATTCTTACAAGTTTCAGTGGTAAATGTTTGAGTAATTATTTAATAAATTAATTGAATTTCAAATTATTTTGAGAAATTGGTTTGGAATTTTATTCACGCGTCGCATTACAAATTTAATTACATAATGTTTTATATCAATAATTTCTCTGCTGTACTCAAATCACGAATAGCAACTTGTTTTATCCAATAACGATTCTTCGCATTCCCAATTATTGTATTTTGCTAAATTTCAAAAATATAGAAATTAAAAGTCTTCACATAATAAAGGTTTTACACTATTTACAGTATTAACCAAACTACGAGTAAGATCTTTGCAAAGCAAGTAATTTTTCAAACGCATTTACAAGGTAAAAATAGATAGTCTTGAAATTCAGTCATCGACTATCTTATATAATACGAAATAAGTATTATTAAATTTAATATAAAAAATAGGTATTAAAATCTTAAGGTCTTAACTTGCGTTGAATATTTTTGAAGAAATTTAGTGTTTATAAATGGTCTAGGAAAACTCCCCTCTGAAGGGTAGTTTCCATTTTGAGAAAATAATGATTTAATGTTTGTGTTATATAAACTTTTGTTTAGATATCCCACCAAACTTCTACTCGAATTTCAAAGTTGGTTCTTAACACTGAACTTTATGCGAGTTATTTTTATTGAAAGGCAACTTTCGTTGCTTATATAACAGGTTAAAAAAAGATAAAATAAAATAAAACCACTGTATCGTTCCTATTAATAAAATACTATCGAATTGTTCGTTTGACGCTATTTTGCTAATAATACTGTTTTAGTCTTTTTTGCAGATCGGTATACATCACGACACAGATCACGTGATAAAACTAGTACGTAATAGTGCTTGGATCCGGATAGGGTTATCCGGATAAGTTATCCGGATATCCGGATATCCGGTTATCCATTAATAATTTAATACTGGGCCAACTAATCCTTAATGCCGAGCCTAACTAATTCTTAATGCCAGCCTAACTGATTCTTAATGCCGGCCTAACTTATCCTTAATGCCAGCCTAACTAACTCTTACAGCTATTTTCATAATTTCTGGAACACCTACTCGTTATCCGAAATCTTTTTGGTCATCCGGTAAATTATCTAGCTTTCCAGAAATTACTTTGCTGCCTATGGACTGAAGGTCCGAAGACAGTGATGTAGTTTCCGGAGGGCTAGATAATTTACCGGATGACCAAAAAAATTTGGGGTAACGAGTAAGTGTTCCAGAAATTATGAAAATAGCTGTAATGCCTAATTAATTTTTAATACCGGCCAAACTAACTCTTAATGCCTGGCCCAATTAATTAATTTTTAATGCCGGCCAAACTAATTCTTAATGTTGGCCTGCTTTAGCCGCATTAGCCAGCCGACCATATTTTATCAGCTGGCTTAACCGGCTTAAAACACTAATATAAATATAGACACGCGTACGGACACATCCAAATTGCGTTTCTGATGTGAATTTCATAATTATTATTTTGGTGCATCAAAAAGGTATCTTTTTTTGAGCCCAATGCATCAAAAAACGTAAATTTCGTATCACATGCCGAATAATATAGGGTCCTCCGCTTTGCTTCGGACAATTAGGTATATCAGTAAACAATTGGTTGTATATAATTTAACGGACCATGATTTTAAATTTCTCCGGGTTTCTGATATGTTAAAATTTACTGCTACTTTCATAATTTCTGGAACACCTACTCGTTACCCGAAATCTTTTTGGTCATCCGGTAAATTATCTAACTTTCCGGAAATTACTTTGCTGCCTCTGGACTGAAGGTCCGAAGACAGCGATGTAGTTTCCGAAGAGTTAGATAATTTACCGGATGACCAAAAAGATTTCGGGTAACGAGTAAGTGTTCCAGAGATTATGAATATAGCAGTAAATAAGATTAAGATTTTAAATTTCTCCGGGTTTCTTATATGTTAAAATTTAAATAAGATTAAGATTAATATTAACTACAAATTTTTTAAATTTTAGTTAGTAAAATTATTTTAGTAGATTCTTAAAATATTTAAATATTTAAAATTGGCAAAATCTAAAAAATTATGTAGCAAAATCTTAAATATATGAAAATATATGATTTAATAAAATTTAAAAATAAGTAATTAAGAAATTATCTAGTAATATTAATATATTTAAAGTAAGATTTTCTTTAAAGAGTCTTATATATTAATAATTCTTAAGTATTTTATTATCCAAATAGATACAGATATTCAGATTATCCGGATTAAAACAGATAACGAGTAAGTAAATAGGCTATCCGAATGATTTAAACAGATATCTGGATGATTATAATTTACAGCTATTATCATAAATTCTGAGACATCTGGCAAAAAATGGTCCGAACAAATATTGCTGGTTCGATAAGTTTGTGATTCAGTAGTGATAAACTTTTGATTACTGTAATTCACATTCAAATCAAAAGTTTATCACTGCTGAATCACAAACTTATCGAACTGGCAATATTTGTTCAGACTATTTTTTGCCAGATATCCCAGAACTTATGAAAACAGCTGTAAACGGATATGGATAACAGATAAGCAACTGCTTAATAGATACGGATAACGAATAAGGACATGGAATATTCAGATTATTCAGATTCAAGCACTAGTACGCAAACGATATGTAACACAGTTGTCAAGAATGCTTAAAATACTTAAAAATCTAAAAGCACTACTGCTTATAATCGATATATTATTTATTTTATTCTGATTATATGTATTAGATATATAATATCATGTATAATTAACTGATAGAATAGTTTTTTTTTTTTGTTTTTTGTTTTTTTTTTTGTGTTTGTTGTTTTTTTTGTTTTTTTTTTTTGTTTTTTGTAATTTTTGT